ATTTGTCACAGCTCATTTATTTGGCCCAAGGACGAGCCCTATTGAAATTGGGGGAAATCGGTTCAGATTTAGATATAGCTTCCATATATATTTTCGTACGATTTAAGGTAAATGGTGCACCAAAGTCCCTAAATATATTTCGATTTGCACAAAATTTGGCACAGCGCACAGTATTGGGCCTAGAATGATATGTTGTGAGTTTCGAAAATCGGTTCAGATTTAGATATAGCTCCCATATATATATTCGTCCGATTCGTGAAAATCGGTTCAGATTTAGATACAGCTGCCATATATATTTTCGTTTGATATAAGGTAAATGGTGAGCTAAAGTCCCTAAACATCTTTCGATTGCACGAAATTTGGCACAGCGTACTTATTAGGCCTAGAATGATGTGTGCTGAGTTTCGTGAAAATCCATTCAGATTTAGATATAGCTCCCATATATATTTTCGTCCGATTTAAGCAAATGGTGCACCAAAGACCCTATGTATTCTTCGATTTGCACGAAATTTGGTATAGCGTTCTGAATGGTGTGTGCATTGTTTCGTGGAAATCGGTTCAGATTTAGATATAGCTCCCATATATATTTTCGTCCGATTTTAAATAAATGTTGCACCAAACTCCTAATGTTTGTCCGATTAACGCGAGGGAACATTGACAGACAATTGTAAGGATACATATGTACAATATACACAAGTGGTGAAGGGTATCATATAGTCGACCAGTCCGGCTTTATTACTTTGGAATGGTATTATAATGGAAAAATTAAAAATGCGTGCTGCCATTAAATATTTACATACAAATGGTGAATGTGTTAGGTGAGAGTGCTTCTTCATATGCAACAGCAAAAAATTTGGTTGCTGAATTTAAACGTGGTTGCACATGCATTGAAGATGAACCACGTAGTGAACGTCCAAAAACAGCAGGAAGTGCCCCAAAGAAGGCAAAAACAATTCAATCAACTGGTTAGGTTATGGCAAAGGTTTTTTTGGACTTCTAAGGTATTTTAATGATTGACTATCTGTGAAAGGGTAAACCTATATATTCATAGTACTATTTCAACCTTTTGGATAAATTATTACAACACAGAGAAATAAATTTTCTTGAAGACAACGCACTAGCTCACAAATGTGTTTTAACAATGGCTAAAATCAACGAATTAAAGTACGACTTGCTTGACCACCAACCTTATTGTCCTGCTCCCATCTATATTTTCGACTCACTTCACATTAATTGTGCATCAAATAATCAACGGGAGTTCAATTGCTTTATATCGGTTTACATAAATTTGTTGCATTGTAATCTAACGACTCTAAATCTATCCGAATAAAATGAAATGTAGTATAGGTTGCATAATGATTTGTGTATGGTTTAGCTTAAATCGGTTCACATATAAATAAAATCACATATTTAGGTTCGTCCAATACCATGTCAATGGTTTTTAAAAAAATGTGACGTATGTTATCAAATATCTCTTGAATATACCCACAGTGGTGATGGGTATCATATAGTAGTCCCCGTCCGACTGCTTTTCATACTGTTTAATATATAAAACCATCATCGATATTTTTCAACGAAAATAACTTTATTAGGTCAGAAATGTATATGGTAGTCCTCGTATATTTATTCACCTATTTTATTTTCTAAATGTTGGACACCCCTGAACACTAAAGAACTTCAGCAAACAATATACACAGAACGATGGGTCACACAAAAAATAATAAAACAATACCCACCAATAGCAATGAATAAATGGAATAGTTCATGGGAAATACTTGTTGAGCATACGCATATTTTTCTACCTTCTTCCTTCGCATTTTCACTTCATAAAAGACATGCATAGGAAACATCATAATTTCGTTCATCCGTTCGCACGATTGTCATGAATAAATTTACAATCACGTCATTAGAACAAAACCTGTTAAATGCCAGTTTCTTTCACCCTCCTCACTTGCTATGAAGGAAAATTAAAAAAAAAAATGGGTGACAAATACCAAATAAGAATTCCAACTATGTAAGGCAATATTAAATACCAATTGTAATTAAATATATGTCGCACGTATATCGCAAGTAATAGATCTTAAGGCAAATACATTACATGAAAGACGTTTTAAGGAGAATATAAAATTGTTGGGCATAATGAACATTTAATGAACAAGAAGAAACACTAACTCCTTCTGAGTATTTCATTTCATTTGTCTACATCATGCAGAGCAATTTCATTAAGTCATATCCTTTCGCCGCAATCACACTCCCACAAATATTTGTGCAGGACACATATATGCTTTCCGATATTACCCACAAGAATTGAAATAACGAGAGAAATGCCTCTAGGTTTGTTTTCGGTCAATATAAGCCAACGTACAAATTAAACAAAAAACAGAAAAATTGCAAAAATGAGTTATTTCCCAAAAGAACAGGCAGTACTGGCTATGACGCACCACATAACTATTGTGAATTATTTGAACAAAAATACAAAAAAAAAATAATATTATTACTATTCCCTTCATTTGTAGTACCAGTAATCAATGCAATAACAAACAAGTCAGTTGTAAACATGCTCCACTGTTTGTTTATAGTTCTGGGTATTTTTTTTCTAACTTTTGCCAAAATGTTCTACATTTAGTAGTCTTGTGGTTATCAAAAGCCATGAACAAACTTTTGTCCATGTGTGGGAGAATAACAAGGGCAATAAAAATTATTATGGATATGAGTGTGCATGTGTATGTCGACGCCGTTGACAAAAGTATGAAAACCAAACAATTTTATTGGTATAATTTTTTGTATATAAGGAGTTGATTGCAATTTTACACAAAACAAAACCAACAACAAATTGTTGGTCTTTTGGGTATTGCTACGAAAATCGATGACAAACTTATTGAAAACAAAGTTCTTGAAGGGTGTTTTTCTATGGCATTCACTATGTTCAAGAGGGTATATTCATTTTGTGATTCTGTTGGGAGCATCTAGAAATATCCGCTTTTTTATACTGAAAGTATATTTTTCAGACACATGGAAAATTGTTAAAGGAAGATGATGGTTATGTCATAATATGGATAGGATAATTTTCTGCACAGATGCATACACAGCCTTTAAAACCCCGAAATGCATATTATTTGGAGGGCCACACACTTCAACATTTAATCTCAATCAGACATCCGTTTAAAATATATATGGAAGCTGTGTCTGCATCTGCACCAATTTCAATATAAAGCAATAACGTCATTCTAGTCTCAATTTGATACGTTGTGCAAAATTTCATGTCAATTGGTGCAAAATTTACTTAAAATCCAACGAAAATATATATGGGAGCTATATCTAAATCTGAACGGATTTCAACGAAATCTGTCAGAGATTAATTTATATTAATATCAGTACACTATACAAAATTGGGGTCAATTGTACAAAACTTTGGGTCTTTAGGCACCATTTACATAAAATAGATCGAAAATATATTTGGGAGCTATATCTAAATCTGAACCGATTTTCACGAAACCTAGCATACATCATTCCAAACTCAATTAAGTGCACTATGCAAAATTTTGTGCAAATTGAATGATATATAGGGACTTTTACATAAAATTTATTGGAAATCCTTGTGGATTTTATAAATAAGGTGTGTATAAGGTTATAAATGACATCATTGAACAATAAGTCATTGGTCATCTTAAAAAAATATAATATTATTTAGACAAACTTTAGACTCAGAAAACAAAATATTTTTCAACATAAAGTTACCACTTTATATTTAATTAATTATTGTGTAGAATATTGTACAATGCTTCTCTACCCACCTCTTATCTTAACGATTCCTCATAACAATTTTAAATGTAATTTTGAAATTAATTGAAATAAAGTAACAATGAATTTCAATGAATGCAACATTGTAGCCTCTATGGTTAGCAAAATTCTGCTATTTTATTCCCATCGCCCAGCAATATGTTGCTGCAGCAATTTTTAATTAAAAGAACATTCGCCTTCGTCATTGTGTGCCTTGGTCAGTTTGTGGCGCTGCAAAACAAAACGAACAATAAAACAGAAACAGTTTCGAAAAGATTAAAGCAATAAAATTGTTAGTAATGAATGTCATTATATCTGACAAACACGAATTGTGCAGCGACACCAGCAGTTAGTTGTACTCTTCGAATCTATTTCGATTCTACACCAGGGAGACATTATTGCACTAGTATCCACAATCATAGCCAGCAGGAGCAACAGCGTTGTTGACAATGCACGAAATATGCAGTCAGAATGAAATTGTAACAGGAAACACAATTACACAAAAAAACACTCAGGGTATAGGTATTTTTGTTTGTCTAGCATACACATAATGGGCCAACGCTGTGACATTTTCAGTAGCAGTAGTCAACGTTATAACTAAAAGCCATTTTGTGTTGGTCTCTTTATATAGAGATATGATATTGTCTCTCTAAAGACGAAAACGACATTGTTTATGTCGTTACTGTTGATTACTTTATACGGTTTAGGGTGGGTTTGCAGCAACAGTATCTGAGCCACTGAAATTGTGCAGCAACCAACTAACAACATTGTTGTTCATGTCATTGATATCGGAGTTGTTGTTGGTAAACCATATAGCACTTACTATTAGGCCATATCATTGTAATCTATGATAGATAAACAACATACCCAATTATGTTTTGGACCGGATCTGAACCGATTTCCATGAAACTCAGCACATAACATTCTAGACTTAATTGAGTGCGCTATGCCAAATTTGCAAGTCTAGAAATATATAGGAACTTTGGTACACAATTTACATTAAATCGGACGAAAATATATATGGGAGCTATATTTAAATCTGAACCAATTTTTCCCAATTTCAATAGGGCTAGTCCTTGGGCCAAATAAGTGAGACGTGCCAAATTTCATCCAAATCGGATCATAAATGCGATCTGTTTACAATTTAACATCTACATACGGACGGACAGACGGAAAGTGATTCTATGCATATTCTCAAAAGGAACCAATATGCACAAAGACGAAAGTGGTGAACTGCCGAATTTGGTCTTCTCCGATGAGAAAATATTTGTTGTCCAGCAGTTTGTAAACAAACAAAATTATCGTATTTACTTGCCAAAGAGGTCAGCTGAAGAGGTCGTGTTTACTTGCCAAAGAGGTCAGCTGAAAATGTGCAACTTCGCCGTCCATGGCGATGGTGTGGGCCGCCATAACAGCTGATGGTCGCTCTCCGCTCGTATTAATCGACCGTGTCATCAGAACAAATGCCGAATATTATCGCGAAAATATTCTAGAGGTTGTATTAAAGCCTTGGGCACGCAAACATTTTGACCGCTGACCTTGGACAATCCAACAGGACTCAGCACCATCGCACTCAGCACGCGCCACCCAAGAATGGTTGGAACATGAGGTTGTTCGCTTCATTTCCAGCGCACAATGTCCACCGGATACCAATCCATTGAACTATTGTGTCTGGGTTATTTTGGAAAGCAAGGTTGGCACTAACAAATACCAAAATGTCGATCACCTCAAGCAAGCGCTTCGCCGGGAATGGGACAAAATACCGCAGAGCAACATTCGGGCAGCGTGTGACGGTTTCATTGGCCGTTTGAATACCATAATTCGTGCAAAAGGTGACCAATTCGAACAAATCTAAATTTATTCTAAAATTTGATGCTATTTCCGACTTTTTTGCTTAAAATTTAAAAAAACTACAAATTATGGCGTTTGACTTTGTTGCAGTTTTTTATGTCACCCTGTATATTGCTCCCTTCACCACACTGTGTTATTATGTCTTCGTGCATATGGCTATAGCATGCAAAAAGTAAGGAAATAGAACCACGGTTCATTTTGCGAGTCTGTATAGAATCGATTTCTGAGTCAATGTATGCATGCCTATACATGCTATATTGTAAAAAAATTGCAACTACTCCCCGCCTAAATAACAATGATGTCATGCTGATTTTCAACTTTCTCCCCAAATATCTCTCTTCCGTGTTTAATGTCATTGAAGAAAATTTCCAAGTTTTCAGTTCAGCCGGTATTTGTAGCATACGTATTGCACAATTTTAATTTCACAGTGACACATTTTTCAACTTTAAAATCTTGAACCAATCGAGACCCCCAAAATCTTGAAGCTTGTGATGGTGGAAGAAAATCCCTAGCTGGGTTTAGCATTATTAGCTAAGGTTTTTTTTTAAATACATTTTTAAAATATTCGACTGGGGCGGATTTTAGCACAATTTTTGAATAATACGTACTTATTATTGAGTCTATATCTCGTGAACTATTCGAAATATATGCTTTTCTCTCTTAAGCAATATTTTCCTCTTAATTAGATCTAAAAATTTTCTCTTGAGATAAAACCAATAAAACAACACCATCATACTGAAAATAGCACAACTGCAAAAAATTAAAATTTAGACATACTTTTTCCATGTTTTTCACACTTTTTTCAGAAACTGCTACTGACTCGGCCAAACAGTATATGACAAGAAGATAGCCAATAGCAAATCAAACAACTTTTCTTAAAACCCCGATTTCATTGGTTGACTCCTTCACATAGTTATAGCCTCACAAATTCATCAAGATGAACCAAAGAAATTCACTCCCAATTGTATGTTTATAGAAATAAAAATTGCTATGCTTTTTTCAATAAATAGGTACAAAATTGAAGTAAAAATTAAGCATGGAAAAAGTATGTCGAAATTTTAATTTTTTTGCAGTTGTGCTATTTTCAGTATGATGGTGTTGTTTCATTGATTTTATCTCAAGAGAAAATTTTTAGATCTAATTAAGAGGAAAAATATTGCATAAGAGAGAAAAGCAATATTTCAAATAGTTCACGAGATATAGACTCAATAATACGTACGTATTATTTGAAAATTGTGCTAATTTTAAAAATTAATTTAAAAAAAACCTTAGCTAATAATGCTAAACCCAGCTAGGGATTTTCTTCCACCATCACAAGCTTCAAGATTTTGGGGGTCTCGATTGGTTCAAGATTTTAGTGCTGCACAGTGTTTTTAATTTTTTCATAATTCTTTCAAAGCTTGCTAATATATACATTTGTTTGTGTACATTATGTGTACACACGCAGGGAGCTATGGTAACCTCGGTAATGGAAAAAAATATTATCAACAAAGCCATTCATAAACTACTGCTCATCACATTGTTTCTGATGCAATTTTTGATTTGAGTTTTTTCTCCCCTTTTTCTTATTAGAATGCTTTAAGTGGTTCAACACAGAAGAGTTTACATTTTCAACAACTACAACAATAGTGCCAACATAACAATTCAATTCAGCAAAAGAATAGTAAATGAATAAATAAAATAAATTTAACAAAAGTCTTCAATTCTAATTATATTGTTGTTGCTGACAAAACATTGTCTTCTATTGTTGTGACTGTTGCTGGTGTGGTTATTATTGTTGTTCTCAAGGATAAAAATGTGGTTATCTGCAACAATTATGTAACCCATTTAAATGTAATTCGGTAAAAATGTTAAAAATGGATTTCAATGCAATAACTTTGAGCGGTAAGGGCGGGTTTGTAAAATTGTTTAAAATTAATTTCATAAATTTGGTGAAATGAAATTAAAATTGAGAATGTAGTACTCTAATGTAATGAAAGTAGTAAAGTCGGACAGGGCCAAATATATAATACCCTTCACCACAAATGCCCCTTGACATGAAATTGGATCAACTAAATGATGTGGTACAGGGTATTATGTCTTTGTGCATATGTTTGTAACAGGCAAAAGGAAACGAGATAGTCAAAAGGTTCCTTTTGAGAATATGCATAGAATCACATTCTAAGTCGAGTTATGGATGTCCGTCCGTCTGTCTGCCCATGTTAAATTGTAAACAAATTTCAGGTCCTAATTGAAAAAAAATTTAACACAGCTCATCTATTTGGCCCAAGGACGAACCCTATTGAAATTGGGAAAAATCGGTTTAGATTTAGATATAGCTCCCATATATATTTTCGTCCGATTTTATGTAAATGGTGCACCAAAGTCCCTATATATCCTTGGATTTGCACGAAATTTGGCACATCGTACTGAATTAAGTTTAAAACGATGTGTGTTAAATTTCGTGCAAATCGGTTCAGATTTAGGTATAGCTCCCATGTATATTTTCGTCCGATTTTAAGTAAATAGTGCACCAAAGACCCTATATATCCTTCGAATTGCACGAAATTTGACACAGTATACTTAATTAAGTCTAGAACGATGTGTGTTAATTTTCGTGCAAATCGGTTCAGATTTAGATATAGCTCCCATATATATTTTCGTCCCATTTTAAGTAAATAGTGCACCAAAGACCCTATATACCATTCGATTTGCACGAAATTTGGCACAGTGTACTTAATTAAGTCTAGAACGATGTGTGTTAAATTTCGTGAAAATCGGTTCTGATCCAGATATAGCTCCTATATATATTTTCGTCCAATTTTAGGTAAATAGCGCACCAAAGTCCCTATATATCGTTCGATTTGCACGAAATTCGGCATAGGATACTGAATTAATTAATTAATATTAATTAACTAATATTCAAGGGATGAAATGACAGTTTTGAGGACCATCGGTCAATATTTATCGGGTAAAATGGAGACAGACGTTTGTGTGAAAAATTACAAACATTTTATTTTATGGTGTATATATCTACTCCTGAAGAACATAGTCACGTGATAGTATACCCCTGAGGAGCTGTTGGCCTTTAAATTGATACAATTTGTATGATACAATTTAAATTGATATAATTTAGTACATCGAAAGCTTTAAACTCACTTCCCATAATTATTCGCTGTAGCTGGAAATTTTAAGTAACCTATGGTTATATAAGTTCAGACTGTTCGAATTTAACTCCATTTCACTTGTTATAATATATATATTCTTCCAAAGAGATTACCCTGTTTTATGTTATGATTAAGTGATTTTATGTTTATTTATTTTCATCTTAAATCACTTGAACCACGGCCACCACCACGCTCAAACACGCACAGTATATAATTCACATTTGTAAGAGAAAAGTACTTGTATTTCCTTAATAAATATTAAATTGGCTTTAACAGTCCTTTTCCATTTTTTATTACACTCAATTTGTTGTTGCTGTTGTTGTCGTTTGTTTGTTTGTTTTGTGTGAAATCCATTGCCCTCAAAATGAAATTATGAGATAAACTTTGTGATTAATGATTTAGGTCGAGACAATTGTGCGATTCTCTTGGGATGGTGTTAATGGCATCTGGTGGTTTATTTAAATGATGACACCGAACAATTTTCCTCATTACAAAACAAAAAAATTAAAATAAAGTGGTTATTGTGATTCTTTAACATAAAACCAACAACAACAAAAAATGACTTGTATTTCCATGGATGTTAAATTCTTAAGAAATGCGAACAAGAAATTATTTCTATTGGCAGCGACAAAAAAATATTTCTGTCTACAACAACATGATAAAAGGTTACTCTATGTCGTTAAGCCGATAATCCATCTTACGATGTTCTTGTGAAAATGTTAAGCTGTGAAATTTCAACATGTTCTGACATTTAAATATATTTTGTAATATTCAATTATAATCCATGTTAACCCGCTTTAACCTTATGGCAAACTCTTTATCCACAATATCTCTCTGCTCAATATGCTCTGGAATAAAATCGTTTTCAATTAAAAACGTTGCTGCAAGGTTCGCAACTTTTCAGTGAAATTATTTTCCTAGATAACAATATTTACAGACGTGGCATTTTGTAGTCGGTATTAGCAACGCTTAAGGTCAAGTGGGCTAAAACTTGTCTGTTCGCAGCTTAATTTGTTAGGAAAGGAAATATAACACACTCACAGCTACACATACATGGGCACATACACACAATCATACACGTACACTACTGTACTGCTACCGACATTCCTTTGAAGCCTTTTAAACGTTTCGAACAATTCGCATTAGACAATTGTGTAAACATCCGTAAACTGAATACTACTACATAAGTGCAGACGTGAAACTGTTTTGTTAACATCCGCATACTAATACTGTCACACAAAAATGAAAATGAAAACGTGTTACGGTAGTCACAATATATGTTTGGAATAGGAATTGTTTGTCTTTGAATGCTTAGCAGCATACGTCATGAGGATAAATGGTATCGATAAGAGGAAATAAGTGTCAAATGTTAATGTGACTCAAAGGCTTAGAACATTTATCGGTATTCATAGTATTTAAGGGAACCCCACCCATTCTCGATTTTAATTTTTCAAGATTTTCAATGGGCTGGTAAATCAATACCAATGCTTGTTAAGGTTTGTAACTTTGCACATATATATTTGAAGATGTAAAAGAGAAGAAAAATAATTTATAAAAAAACTTTGTTATTGCTTTGTTGTTGTTTTTTGTAATTAAAGAAAAGTCCTCATTT